TAGATCGGAACGCGGTGTTTTATCGGTCCAAGTATATCCAAGTATCCAAGAGGTTATAAATTATTATTCACAGGTTTTTTTTATTTTTTTATGGCTCTGGCACGGTTTGTGCATTAGCCAGCGTCAAGTATGAGATTTTTATCATTCGTGCTTTTTGCCTTAGAAATTCGATAATGTCCTCCATGTACGGTTTAGGCACTCGCCCGGTACCGCACAACCCTCCCAAAGGCCGAGAACAAATTTAAATTAAATTAAAACTTGCCCTCGAACCGGGAATCGAACCCGGTACCCCTCACCTAGCTGCCACTTAATAAGACCGCTAGGCTATGAGGCCCCCCATTCACAGGTTTATTTATAGTTTCTTTAATTTGAAAGAATCTGGATAACCTGGACCAAACCAAATTATGTTGCTATTTATTTATATTTTTATACCATAGTATTAGTGAACTATTCATTAAGTATATAGTGGAGAAGCACAATCCGGCCTTCCGGTATTTTTCTCATGACTCATTCCGGTATCCGACGTCGGACCGGAGCAGTGGAGAAAGGGCCTAACGCGATCAACCGTTGAGCACGGCACTCAACAGCCGTTTATGATGTGGGACCTTTGTAGAGCTAGGGAAAGACTCCCCGTTCATAATTTATCTTTAGGCAAGTATCTCTACCTGACACACTTGACACAATATGTTACTGATTTTTGTCTCTACCGAGCGAGCAAGTGTTAATTTCGCACATAGAAACAAAAATCTATTGGTGCAGTCAGGGTTGAAAGTCGCGCACTAGGCTGGATTTGAATTATTATAAATCTAGGGACTGTAATTGTTATTGTTTATATTAAGATCTCATAGCCTCGCTGGGTAACTTAGTATTTTATATTTATAAAAACAAACATACTATAGACCAATTCTCTTGTACGCCCTCAGGGACGACAGTATCGACGCGTGAGCAGGCTGCCCGGTTAAGTCAATGTTCCCAAGGCTACCTGTGCCTTGGCTGTTCGGAGATTTACAATCTGTTCACACAGAACTGATCTTATCCACATAATTGTATCACCGAGGACTGCATTTCAGGCGCGCTATTTTATAGTCGGCTTCGGTTTTTAAAAACAGTTTAATAACCCTGAATAAAACAGCAACATTTTATATTATTGTTTATTCAACATCATATTACTTACAGTATTTAACAATAAATTCAAACAGGTGAGGAGTTTAAACAAATGAGAGTATTAGGCTTTATACACACTAATGTTTCTAACACTAACCACATTCGATAAAACTATTAATTACTTTGGATATTTATATTGGGAGTTAGGCTCCACAAACACGACGCTTCATAAATAGGTCATGCTAAATCAAGGCCAGAATTATCCAAAATTTGTACCTACATATTATTTTAAACAAAGATATTGATTGTTTCACTCTTCCACCCCGCATCTTTGGTAATAGAAAAAAAAGTATTAACTGACATATAACGTCGGATGACTCTTACCCCTATAAAGTAAAATTAGATTAAACCAAAAAACGGTGATCATATTTCAGAAGAGAAAAATAAATAAGTTTTGTGGTTTATTTGCACGATTCAGACTCTATAGTAAATATGTAGATAACCAGACACATACCAAGCCTAATTAAAGCCAAAGCTACATGTCGATCTTGTAATTAAGTGTCGTGTAAGTGAAGGTGAGTAGTATAAGACGGTATAAAATTTAACAAATAGAAGTGTTAATACATCCCCTACGAATCGTTAAGAAATTTCCATCGGACTTTGTTCTTATATCTATAAAATCTATTACATCATAATATATAACCAATTTCACAATTTTCATATTGCTTTTAAAGGTTACTTCTCATTATACCTGCATCTCAATGACGTCATAATGCAACTACATAAAGCTAAAAATACGCGACGTATTTAATATAGATGCAGACATAATGCCACCGAGTTATTAATATAAACATTCATTAGTAGGAAGAAAAATAAACATCTGTTTTTTTCAACACTGGATTATTTTTATAATCATTGACAGACCTTCAATTGTCTTTGGTTATATCGAAGGTGTCATAATCATATCTAACACTAGCAATACTTTCCTATTTAGACATGAATATTGTGAAAAAGGTACTAAAGATAATAAACTTTGAAGAGATAACAAAGATTTAAGAGCTAATACAAGTGACTAGTCTTTATATATAATCTACAAGATGCGTTAAAAATGCTAATGATTATTAAATTATAATGACTAGATTCTGCGCAGTTACAACACTTATAAATTACGTGGCGTTAGCGTAACTAATGTCATTGTCGAATGACTCGAATGTCGGTCGCCATTTTATTTAAACTCGTATAGAACGCATTTCGCATTAATCATTAAAAATAATATTGAATGGCAAGTATTTATTTGATAAATTAACAAATTTTATGAAACAAACATTTAAAATAATAATAGTCCTTGTAAAGTTACCAAACAGGCAATGAAAAGAACAATCCAATTTACAATTGTGGACCTCTATTGTAGAACGCTTTAATAAAGCTATTTAACTAGAACGTATGTACAAGATGTTTGTTTCTATTGTTGTACTTGTTAAATACAAAATAGCACTCTACAATCTCTAGGCAGTGCGATTGCGTCTCTACAAAGAAAAAGAATTCTATTTCTCCTATTACAAACCTACAGAGATAAAATGGATTTCATCAAGAACATTTGATTAATGTAAAAATAAGTTATTGACTTGACATGCATTCGTTAATGAAATGTAAAGAATGTGATTTTTTTCTCTATTCACTTTAATTGACTTTTATAACATGGCATTTCAATAACAAAGATTAACATTTAACAACATTTGAATTAAAGTTTTGAACAGAATATTTTTTAAACACCTGACGTTTCTAAGATAAATTTAATTGACATCTGATAGATAAGGAACTTTTCTACTTGTTTCTTGGGATGACCTATGATATAAACTTACTTAAATTATTTTTAATTACGTCGAAGAAGGACTATGTCGATTTATATTTTCAACAGATCACCACCAAGACCTAAATCACAGCTATGGGGTAAAATTGAGTTTTGAAACCACGTCTAATGGACAATGGCAGCGAACATAATATATTTAATTAGGGCTTTGACAGTTGACATATGCCGTTTTAAAGCTAAACATTGGTCTTTAAACAGGATAATTTAAATGTAATACATGTTACACAACATTAACTACTTATATACACACATTTATTATGATGAGTTCTAGCAGATACATAGACAATTGCTAATATACCAATAACATAAATATAAACTATAACTTAAATAATATTGAGCTAGGTACCTAGCATTGCCTAATACAATTATATTAGAACACACATTGTCAAAAAACTTTACAGCTAATTAAGTTTATCAAGGGGCGTTTTATTTTTAAATAAATGATTATTTAGATTCAACACAAGCTTTTAAATTTAATAAGGTAACATGTAACATATTTTTATACGAAGATAAATTTTATTGAATAACAAGAACACTATATGCGTCTACACATTATGCTATACTATTAGATATTGTGAAGGTAGGTACCTACTGATGGGATAGGGAGAGCCTCATAGAGTTAAATTTTTCAAATATTTTTATATACCCATATATAAATATTTGTAGAATTAGGTAGACAGGCTAACCGCAAATATATAATTTTTTTTATTTGTTTTTTATTTATAATAAACTCAACTTTCAAGTTTTTTATGATCTGCTATAATCATTTGTTTTCATAATTTCACTGTACTGAATTAAGAGATCCCAAAATGTACGTAAAACTGTTAACGCGAAAGGAAACTATTTTCATGAGGTAGAGAATACGCTTTAAGTTTACACTAAAACTGAATAAATTTTAAAAACAATATGTAAATATTGTATATCTATTAAGTACCGTTAACTACTGGCCAATTGTTTGATAAATAAAATTATATTGTCTGCTAGCATAATATAATTCGTCTTTTGTCGATGTATTAATTTCTGAGTGTGTTCTGTACATGTTGTCTCGTAGTGTAAATAAATAACTCTTCATTTTGTGCGAACATAGGTAAATATCTAACTGGTTCCCATATTAAAACTACGTGATAAATGTTATTCTTTACAGTCATTCCAGGATCTTATGCCACTTGATGAGGGACATGATTGATCTTACTTTATATACTATTAATAACGCGTAACTTGTAGCAATGTATGTATGGATATTTAGGTTACAATTAATATGGGAACACTAACTACTTAAGAAACATCACATTGTTAAACATTAAATTTCAAATTGATATTTCAATAATTTATGTGTTTTACAATTAATATTAACAAATAATAATTACTAACTATTATTGTCGATAAAATGTTATTGTAGACAATACACGTTTATATAAATTCAATTTTTTAAAGTGTAACAGAGACGCTCAAATTTGATATTGCCCGAACACTTTTACATACAAATTAAAAATGTACTAATTACTAAATGTATTTTCTTACATAGAGTCGTCAAGCACGCAAAGCTGGTATATACCTAACATTAAAATGCTGAATTACTATAGCCTGAATGTTACATGTACAACTCAAATCTAAATGATGATTTGTTGTGTAAACAAATATGGAGTTGCAACTATTATCGACTAATAAGTCGTGTTTTAACAGAATCAATACCTAATGAGTATTTTTATGTAATGAAATCACTTTCTCAATATCAAAAAATATATAAAGTTAGTTCTCAGTGTCATGTTTCGTTTTAACATCGTTCATTTGACTGCATAAAGGTGCTCAATCCACTTTGTTATAGAGCTGTCATCAAATAATATAAAGTGTATTTCACAAGCAGCTTAACGGTTTTTGTAAAATCATAGTCTATAAATTATATTTAAAATTTAGTTAGACGGTAGCCGCTCGTTAGTTATTTGTAAGATGGACGAATATGATGTCGCATAGGTACCGGCCAAGTCATTTCGCCTAAAATCAAAAGTTTTGGATGAGGCTTTTGGACTTAATAAGTTGAAAGACAGTCTGGTGGGTGGAAGTCTCCAAAGATATTCAACTCGTAGAGACTGGCGAGCGTGATGAAAAGTAAGTACCATACCTGTAAATTATAAATGAGTATAAAGTATTTGTTTTATGTAAATGTAACTGCATGTAAAGTGTTTAATTTTTTTCTTTCTCAGGTATGTATCAGTTTGTATCCTTCCTAAGTATATAGCAAAAATTCTATTAGTGAATATTGAAAGATACAAATTATAGTTTTGGCCCCAATTTTAATAAGAAACGTATACTTCAACTACAATCAAGTTAAATATTAAATATAATATTTAAATCAAGTATTAGGAATGTTTGGAAACATGATCTATTTTTAGAACTCCATATGATATTAAGAACAAATTTTAGACAGCTAAGCAGGGAAATGCTATGTCTCAAACTTTGGGGTGAAATTTACTTTAAAGGTTTGAAATAACAGGTTAATATATTAGAATAAATTTTGTTTAAAAGGCTTCTAAATATACATAGAAAGAGATATTATTTTGTATGGCCAATGAGGCAAACAAATTCGAGTAATTATAACATTTCAGGGAGTTGGATGTTAAATCATGCAAATAGCAATACCAAACAAACTTAGTTAAGAAAGGGTACTTTGCATTTCTATTGTACGTAAACTACTACGTAATTATTAAATACATACCATTAGGACTGCCCCAAATTTGCGATCCAGCTTCCAGCCATTGGCGTGTGTTGCAAGCACTAAGAAGATAACCGTAGAGAATAGCGATAGTGTAGAATATATCAGACCTGAAAAGATCGACGTACTGTAATAATTAATTTTATAAGATTAAGATTAAATACTATAAAAAGTATAAGGTTTATTGAACTCTTTCCAGTTTTAAAATAATATTGAAATCATGAAAACCTATTAAGTAACACAAAAGTACAAATTACACTAAGTATCGAATGGTTATAGGGGATTATCGTGGCGATAATTTTAACGTTTGGGCATCATATTATACATTAATTATTTTTAACCGTATGTCCACATAACTTTTCCGTTTTTAGACTGTTCTCAATGGTACAGGTGGTCAGTCGCAATTTTTTTTAGTTTTTAAATAACTTTAAAAAAATATTTTTTTCGGGTGCAATAAGTGTATCCGACATAGATGCAGACTGTACAGTAACCATAAATATTAGAAGAGAGCTATAATTTACCTTTGCTGATGACATTGACGTGACTTCCGGGTTGTATGATGGCTGTTTGAATGAACCACGGCAAGCCAAGACATACCAAAATGTCAAAAACATTGGACCCAACTGCGTTTGATACTGCCATATCACCATAACTACAATCACCAAATATTTATTAATACCGTTAAATCTTTATAAATAATTATATTTATTATAATCCTATGGCGTAAATCCTAAATTTTGGCGCTTCGAACCTGAAGATTTTTCTTTATAATAGGTGGTCAGCCCTTTACGTCACGTCCTCAATATTTTCCCAAAAAGGGTTTTCTTTTCCATGACAAGAGGTGAAGAAATATTAATTGCATACCTAGATCGAACATACTGTATCTAAACCAGAACAAATTTGTACTATTAGGAATTATAATATTAACGATATTGATGTAAGTTAATAAAGCATTTAGTATCAGTCACAAATGACTTACCCCTCCTTAATAACAGCCAGCGAGGATAATGCATCTGGCACCGAAACACCAGCTGCTACAAATGTCAGTCCCATTACTGTATCTGGGATGCCAAGAGTGTACCCTGCAACACCGGAATAAATTCCTTTTGGTCGATGTCTGCTTTAACTGTGCCTCGCGTCCTACCGCCACCGAATCGTTTTTGGTGGTACAAAGTGTATATGGACGTAGTAAAGAAGGATACATTACTTTTATAAATTCAAGATTTTTGCTTTAATGTAGGTTTTTTTACGTGAGGATAGTATAGCGACTACATATGTATTGACGACTCATTGGTCTAGTGGTTAGTACCCCTGACTGCGAATCCATGGGTCCCGGGTTCGATCCCCGGCTGAGACTAACATCGATGTGATGAGCATTTGGTGTTGTGCTTAGGTCTTGGGTGTTTAAATATGTATTTATATGTCTATCTATCTATAATATGTATGTATATCCGTTGCTTAGTACCCATAACACAAGCTTCACCAGCTTAGCATGGGACTAGGTCAATTGGTGAAAATTGTCAAAAAAAAAAAAAATATATGTTTTCTAATCTATAGTCTGTATGGGCAATACTTACCAATAACAGTGATCATCCAGACCATAAAGTAGGAGTAGAAAGAGATCCACAGCATGGAGATGATAAAGGTGACTGGGTACCAGGGCCCACGGTGATCGGGCATCGTGTGTCGGCATGTCCAGTGGACGGGGAAGGCCACATACCAGCAGACTAGTTGTACCGGATCTGATAATATGTATCATAGAGATGAGATACAAATGATAATATTGATAAATATAATTAATAGTCATTACAAAGTGTTCAGACGCTAGCCCTCATACGTTTGTGTTTCGGGCGGTGCTAGGAGCTTCCATGGTACATTTATAGTATGTAAAAAACACAAAATAAATACAAATACTAATGATTAATTAAACAGTCGTATAGTTCTTAAGATTTTCACTCATTTTTAGAACATTTTAAAGAGTTCGTGCTAAATATGAATTTCATTGTCCTGTTTTAATTTGATTGTTAATTGTAAGTTTAGGATTCTCTATTAAATAAATAATTAAAATTGACTGGAGGCAAATATGTATAACTATTGTGTAACTTACTTGCTCCTTCAGGCTTTACCAGTGGGTTCACGGCTGTGTCAGGGTTGTAATCCTTTGCTTTATAATAAGCAGGAATTGCGGGCTATAGAAAAAAATAACGTACGTGATACCTTTGATTGCGAAATTGTTTTTATTTTTTGTTTTATTACAGTACTGCAAGGATTCATTCTCGGTCCTATTGTGTGTGATTGTAATCTACGCAGCAATCTTAATTTTATATTGAAGTGTGAGATAGTTTTGTCCTCACATAATTCTTGATTGCCAGTTCTTCTTGCCCGTTCTACACGCCCTTGACTTGCGAACTGGTAGTAAATATAAATTAAGAAACAATTTAACATCTTTTCTGTTAACGTTCATAAGTGTACTTGGTTACCTATATGAATAAAGGTAATTTGAGTTTGAGTTTGATTAATGTAGAATAACGTCTACAAGAATTGGGTTTTAAGAACTAAAATAAAGCTTCAGCGCATTATCGAGATACTCCGGTCGTGTTGTCGACTCGGTAATTGTCACCAGCAGTGAGAGTTATGTAATAGAAAATGCAGTACAAACTTCCTTATGCTACTTTCATATATCATTCGTGGATGGCCAGTCTCAATTAGTAAAGCATTGCATTTTACTAACCTGTTGTGTTTGTTGAGGCGGCTGTTGTTCCTGTCCGGGTGTTGATGGGGTCTGTGCAGACTGTTGTTGTTGCTGCTGTTGTTGTTGGTTCATCGCACCCCAGCCTTGGTTTGATGGATTTTGTTGCTGTAATTTTACATAAGGCTAGTTTGTATTGTCGTTACTTAGGTTCAGTATATTTTTAGAGTTCAATCAAAATTTATCATTCAAAATAACCACCACGATAAAATTATAAAATTAAAAAAATGAAGTTATTTTTCTCTAAACGAGTAAAACTAACAAACTGTTAAAAATTGCTTAGGATAAATCCGAAGAAGCATTCTGTTTTTATGTCAAATTTAAAAAAAAAATGTAATGGAGTTTTTTTTGTTGTTAATTTAATTCAAACATTACCATTGCTGTCTCCTGGTCCCAGGCATTGTCCCAAGTGGAGTTGGGGTCCCAAACGGGAGCCTGCTCAGCGTGATAAGCTGCGTTCTCATATGCACCGCTTGGGTTAAACGCTAGAAAAAACAACAACATACATTTGTCGAAACTTACACAGATGAGCTTAAACTCGAATAAAGACACAGTCAACCTTGTAAGTTTACGAATAAAACATACATTTCTAATTGCAAAATGCTGTATCTCTGACGTTAAGTGTACTAAGCTTTGAATATAACAATTTATAAAATACTAGCTGTACCCTGCCACGCTTCGCTGTGGCATATTGTGATTGAATGGTTGAGAAATGAGAAACAAAACAAAGAATACATTTCATATAAGTTTAATTTTGCAATACTTGTGGGAAAAAAAAGAAACAAAAAAATAGATAAAAACAACCCTTGCTATGCTAAAATTTCAGCTCGATCGGTGCAGAACTTTTTGAGTTTTTGAAGCGTACACAAACAAACATAACATTTTTATATATGTATAAAGATTGAAACTTGAAGGTTGACGGATAAACACCCAGTCCATACAGGATCAGACGTAACAAGTAATATTAGTAGGTATAATAAGCGAATATAATGAATATATAACATACTCAAACGAAAATGCCACCGAAATTAAATATACAAATAGAAAATAAAAAAATCCATGGACTTACGGGCTGGTTCAGATGATGATTCCTTTTGTTCTCCTTCGACGTTGGTGTAGGGTGAAGTGCCACCAGGCACCGGAGCTGGTACTCCGCTCCTAATACACATAGTTTAGATGAATAGGGTTACCATACAAAATAAAGGTAAGAACATGCCAATTAATATATGTACTGGAATAGTGGAGAGTAGCGGATGTGCTTAAAATTTCAAATATATTAAGATAAATCCAAGATAATGGCCCTAACTAATATATGTATAAGAAACAAGTCGAAATCGGGCTCGAAATTCCAAATCACTTTTGATTAATCAAAGTTTAAAATAATAATTTCTCTGTAAAATACACGATTCAATACATAATATTATCACTACCAAGAACGTCCGTACACGCCAAGAACGATTTAATCAAACGAACACTGAGCAGAACAATCGCTATGACACAGAAACGCTCTGAAGCGACCGCTTACATGGAGCGAGAACGGAACACACAAAACAGCCAGCAAGCGGGCCAGCGGCGCCAGCGCGACTGGCGAGCGAGCATTCTTAGAATATTCCATAGAATCTTTGTGAACTAAGAACAAGGAAAGAATGCTCTACGTCGGGATAAAATGAGCATTCGCTCGTCTTATGTAAATCGACCTTTAGATTAAGAACATTTATTTATTTAAACTTCGTTACATTTCATACATCGAACACTTACTTGTATGTGACGAGTGCTGCCTGTTCTTCCCGCGTTGGTAGTTTGAAAGGCAATGGCCAAGTCAACACCCAAGCCTCTAATGCCGTGTTGAACCGCAAAGCCACGCAGTACACGGCATACATTATCAACATGAATAAAGCTTCGGGCCTGAAAAAAATACAAATTAATTTAATAATTGTCGGTCTTTTTTGACAGATGAATTTAGAGTATAAATCTCGACAAGAAATTCGATCAGATTTTGCATTAAAGGTTGCTTTGCGCATATGTACTTTGACTAGGAAATTTACATAAAAAACGACTCCCCCCATACTTATCTGTGGAAACTTACCAGGAAACATAATTGTTTGCGATGGTGCACAGCATCACCAAGATTGAGATGGCGTAGAAGAAGCAGTCGCGGCATAGTGGCCACCAGTTAAGATGAGAAACTGTACCAGCGCATAAAGCACATACAGAGATCACGAACATTATGTTAAATACCGCTGAGCCAATGACACCCGACACACCTGTATTGACAAAAATACATTACAAAAATTTAAAATACAAACACCTCATCAAAAAACATAAAACCACTAAAAGCTTATATCATTTTGTCTTTCAAGTCCCCTAACCCGGATGGGGGAAGGATTCTGTATATTTTATAACTTTTCCTTAAAGGCAAACAGGTGTAACAATGTTTACTACTAGAATTAAACCAAAGACCTCTGTCGTATGTGTGCATTACCAATTGAGAGGCGGCGATTATGTTCTCAATGTTCAAAGTCCCCTAAATGTCCGATAAGCTTAAGCTTAAGCCTGATTGTCTGTTTCAATGAAATTTGATAAAGCTATGTAATTTATAAAAAAATAACGGATATTAACTTACGCAAATTTATTATAATTTAGTTAACTCGTTTCAGGGTAACTTACCAATATCATCTTGCGCGCAAAATACTCCTATGACGACGGTAGCAAGTTCTGGTGCGGAACTACCCGCAGCCATAAAGGTTGCACCCGCTACGTCTGGTGTCAGCTGCAGCTCTGAGTATATACATATTTATTATGTAATCGATTTTGAAAATTATAATAATATACAAAAATAAATGTTATAAAACAATTTATTTATTATATTTCTTAATATTTTCCATAAACAATGGCGTGTTTCGTTAGATTATCTCTTTTCATCACACTGTACTCAAACTCAATTTGTTGTATTATCAACGTACTTTATTAACTCAACACCAACATTTAAATGAGATTTTGATGCTTTGAATGCTACACAAGAAGACGAACTTAAATAAAACTGCGCTATAAATAATAACTTACAACAAAGGCGAGACGCCGATTATGAAAATGTTTGGTTATCTGTAGTCCGGCTTAGCGCAGGCGCGGTGTGCTTTTGTTTTGGCGGCACGCATGTTTTAATAAAGTCTTCCTAGTCTATGGTAGTTAATTTTATGAAAGATACGAACTCTCTCTTTTTGGGGTTGGTTTAAGGATATATATAATAGTAATAAAATGATATACCTTCGCAAATTCTGTCAAGACTGCTCACAAAATACTCGTCACATACAATGGCTAAACCGATGAAAGTGAAAACAGCCACGATGACGTGGAGGATCAAACCACCATGCTTTCGAGCGTTCTGACCCATGAGCGGATGCGGGAACTAGGAAGAAAATATTACTTATCAATTTCATTTTTAAATATATATATTTATATATCATTAAAGTGATTCTTTATAATATGTTTTATAGGTAGAAAGTAAACAAATATTCATTTAATATATATTTGCGAACAATTATTTCGGATTGATAGACACATGAAACTAATCCCCTATTTGGCTTAAAAGAACAAATTTGGGTGGTTGCTTTTGTTTTAAGTCTTTAAACAACCGTTTGTCTCCTTTTAGTTTAACGTGGAAGTCCAAATTGGATGAAAAGAATGTTTAGAAATAAAATGTTTACCTGCTCAATTGCGGGAGGAGTGCAATTCCTAAGTGGATGTACAGTAGCTATTGCTTCTTCCATTTCTTCCAATATCTCCTCTTTCCGGATCTCTACCGTCTCTTTGTCCTATAGAATATTTTTTACTAATAATTTAATATTATGCACAAAATATGGTTTTTAAGAAAGTTACCGAAATTTTATAATATTCATAGCTTTCGGAGTTTAGTGTCATATATTTTCTTCGTCTGTTAATGTTAGATTTTAAAAATCTAGGAATGAATTTGTATATTCTAAAACAATTTTTAGATATAGTTGTTTATTTTAATCTTAAATCTTTACAATGTTGAAACACTCACGTCGACATAGCCCGCATCTTTTTGTTTCTTCTTTTCACCTTCGTCATCTTCTTCTTCGTGAAGGCCCTTCATTGCCTTCTTCCCTCCCTCTGTAGCTTTTATTTCCTCTTCTTTTCTTGTAATTGCTGGTGTTACTCTCTGTTCCACTTCTGCAATAGAATAAAACTTGTCAAGGATTGATAGGGAACATCTGAATATTATGCATTCGAGAGAACCAAAGAACCTGATTTCATGAATTTTATCTTGACTTGTCAAAACGGCATATGTATATCAACGCTACGTGGTGGAATTTGTATATTTTCACTTTTTAAGATCCAATCCATGAAGTATTCTTCATGTCTTAGAAACCATCATTAGTATTTTCTATTACGAGAGTGCAGGTGGTTGTTTTAGTGTTATTCGCTATTGTAAATAAAAGTATATAATAAATTTGTTTCTTACGTTTAACGCTTTGCAGACATATCTATGATAATGTCAAGTAAAAATAATATACCTTTCTGTTCTGTAGTCAGGCGTGTAACAGGTGGCGAAACTATATCACTAGCTGGAGAAGGTCCAGGCTCGGAGGGTTTACCCAATACGGCTTGGAAGACGGAATATGCAATGAAGAAAACTGACACCACCAGCCATCGGTGGCGACGAGGCCGGCGCATCCTCTGTAATATGACATACGGAAGCATTAAGTATTATCTTTGAATATCACCGTTAGCTTATAGAAAAGTTATAAATTTTATTATTCACTTATATTTATTCAATGACTGTATATCGAAGACTATTGTGATGTGTACTACTAAAATAACTGACAAATATAATTTTATTTTAATTGATTTGTTAGTGTGCATTAGGTACATTCAACATTCGAATATAGGAACCGGAAAATAATATTAACAAAATATAGTGTATATAACGTAAAAAATTACAGAGCTTACTAAGCTAAAGTAATACTGGTGTTTTATAATAACCTAAATAATGTCTACTTATTTTAGCCCCAACAAACTTGTATAACTGACCTTTACGGTATGTACTACGACTGTATATAGCTTTTATATATAATGTCGTTGGAAGCCAGCCAAAAGGCCTATCTGTCTAGTGTAGCAAAAACTGGATAAATTTAGATGAAAAAATGTAACTGCTACGAAACTTTTCCACATTTCTTTAGGTTCCAGAACAAGCAAACAAGGATATTCATTTATTCTTCTAAATTCGTTGTAACTCTATTTGGTGAAAATGCTTTCATTTTAAAATGACAATATTATAATATCTCATGTCTTACAGATAATAAGCTATGAACGATGCCACAGTCACTAAAATATAGACAATAGTATAATAGATATATATATTTATTACAGTTAGATACATATTTATTGATTTTATAAAAATGTATTAATTTTCCATCTTACGCTTAACACCATCAAATTTTTTTTTTAATTATTTAAAATTGAATTAAATTTTTTTTATCTTACTAAGGATACAAAGAAACGTAATATAATTTAGTTAGTTAAGACTTATATATATTATCAGACATGTTGTATGTCGAGAAATATATTATTTGCAAAATTAATGGTTTTTGCCAAAACTACAAAATATAAACACTTATGATGTTTTTATTAATACAAGATCAAAGCCAAAACAATCAAAATATACACCAGCTGGCTGAAATATATATACACTTATCTCATAAGTGATGTTATAAGAAGCGCAACAATTTGCACGACCTCTTGTTTAGAACGCTTTCAGTAAATCCCAGAAGGACTATAGATTCGAATCTTAAAATATTACAGAGCAAAAAACTTACGTAAACAAAGGTGTACGCCAAACCAACCACAAAGAAAAATACATAATAAGATTTAATTAGATGAACGACAATGAAGACTTTATTGATTCAAGCGCAACACCATAACGTGGTTATTACAGTGGAGGTGAGAGGGGTGGCAGAAGTTGAACACTTGGTGTAACCTGTATTCTCATTTACGCATTGTCGCAGTTTATATTACTTTTCCATCGCGCTTTATTCTTAACTGACCTTTGACAATATTTTCATTTTATGTTGATGATAAAATATGTGTAATTTAAAAAAAAACATGAACATTGAGCATATGGCATATCTATATATACAAAAATGAAACCCGTTTTCCGTTGTCACGACATAACATGAAAACGGCTTGACCGATTTGTCTGATTTTTTTTTATAATATACCTTGAAGTACGAGGATGGTTCTTACGGAGAAAAATTAAAAAAAATTGAGTGAAAAAGTCTAAAAACAACACTTTTCTATATTCCCATACAAAATATTCGTAATAATACTTAAAAGTCAATTTGAACTTTAATACCATATCATAAAGTTCAAGTGTTAGTGGAGGGGTTCCGGGAAGGTAAATTTTTATTTTTTGACATAATGTATTTGTTGTCTTATCAATTTTCTTTTTTTTATCTTACTAGCTAGACCGGTGTCCCGAATAGCAGAATAAGTATTTTAAACAAATAAAGAATCGACTAGTTAGGCGGTACGATGTTCGCCAGGCCAGCTAGTGTATTTATAAAAAATCTTATATGGACCCTGTTGGTTAAGGTAAGTTTGAAAACTTACCTATAACATAACCAGTTATCAGATTCTCTAGTCGCCATTATTTTTTTAAAACCTATATCACGTACAGATTTCTGTGTTTTTTGTTTTTGTATTTATTGTATTCATTATTTTATTTTTTGTTTTTGTATTTATTGTATTCATTTGAATATGTGATTGTACTTTGGTGTACAGGTTGTACCTGTACTTTCACTAAAATTATATTGTTCAATCAAGACATAGAAATAACATATAGAAGTTTGCGGTTTATGAGAAAAACGCTAACATATCGGCTTGAATCATTGCTCTAGTTGGCCTCGTCCTGGTATACGCTAGGGAGAGATCATCTTGTTAGATCTACGTGAGTATTATTGTTTTGCGTTATAACTGATTTTCATTTGCTCTGAACTATTCGTAAAGTTTATCCTGTATTGTTTAAACTTGATATGGAAAATGTAAAATAACATTATCTAAAAGTTTAAACCTTTATAAGCTCTTATATTAAAAATGCTATAAATAAAACGATTTTATTTGCCATTTTCTTTGAGCTCAAAGCTCGGAAAATTCGCTTTAGGTATCTCGCTCCAGTCTCCCCTTCACCGACCGGAATGTAATGCTAGTCTACGGAATATATTTAGCTGGACGGGTTTTATTACGAAATTAATATAATTAAATTTTTCATTATATATATATTTTAAGTACCAGGCGTTCAACAATTACAAAATTCAAAATATATGAATGATACAAAAAGCGCATTACGCACACATTTCCTAAATTTAATGTTTAGTCAAATCTTCCTTAAGAAACGTATTTCCAAATGCTGGGAATTCAAAAATAATTGTGGCTTAAACGCAAATGCGATTTGCCACAATTTGTTTAAAATTGTAGGTAAGTATAAGTCTTTAAAGATGACACTATTATGTTGTCACAAATAAGCCGTAGTACGTTGTTGGTTTAATCGTTGGTGATTGAAGTGAATCAAGAAAAAAATATGGGATGTGGTGATCATTAAATGTTAATAAGCTACTCTTAGTGCGGCCGTCACGGTCGCTGTCTGGTGTAATAACTGGTTAGGGAGATTTTCAGTTATGTAATTAGCTGGAATAACTAATAATTTTCTTTTTTCTGATATTATACAAATTTAATAATTTTTTGAGAAATATATTCGTGCTTAAGTATATTAATAGCCATAGTTTAGTTAGATGGTTTTTCATGAAAAAAGTACCTTGTCTCGTCGGTTCTATTTCTATTCGGTTTTGCGTATAGTTCATTTGACAGAGACGAACAAATTATATTTTGTTATGGGTTCCAGGGAAATTGACTGCATGATACCGAGACTGGGCAATGCCAGACGGCAATCATGAATACGTGATCCTAGCACCTTATGATTTCGTATTATTAACGACACCCGTATTAAATAGGCCTAGGTTGAGTAGTTGGTGTCAATTGTAAGAAGGGCAAATAGATTAAACGAAGCCATACTTAAATGCAAACGCTTTCATTGTAAAACATTACTACGACTGCATTATGAAAGAAAAAAGAAGAAAATTATGAAGAAATACTACACCCATGACATCTACCCTCAAAAACTTGGGTACAAGAATTACAAAATTAGAATAAGAGAAAAAAAAAGAACCCTGAAAATTATATTTTCAACAAAATTATAACTCTGTTTTGTTTTTAAAATTGGAAAACTTCACAGATTTTCATACAAGATTTTACGACTTACGAGCCAGTTTTGTAGAATTCAATTCCGCGAAAAAGCACATTCATTTTCAGAGTTCAAGGATCCTATTCTTAGATTTCGATGACAGAAGAGCCGAGCCCGATTCGTGATTGGATTAGGATAAGCCACCCCAACTCCGCATTATGTTATCTTTTTGATTGCTATGGATTTGTCCCTTCAAACAAATTTGATAAGTTCGTTTTCATCATGAACCAAAACGTGAACATATATATATATTATATGAAATTACTAAACGAAGATTAAGTATTTATGTTAGTTTCACACATTTAAACGAAGGTAGGTTACTTTCGCTTATTTAAATTGAGGTTTTATATCAATTGATTATATAATACTTACATTATCTCTTTTTACATTTTACTTTGCAATCCATTCCGGACGTCGAGGTGATGCGGGTGGAATTTCGTATTCTGCCTCGACGTCCGACGATGAAACTGCAGGTATCCGAACAACTCTACTGATCCCATAGTATGCCAGCCTTTTTTTATTCTTATAAATATTGCATTTACGTTCGTCGACCAGGGAATTATTAAAACGGTATACTATTCCTATAAGATTACGGAATTTCTTTTTATTATCCTTTTATGTCCTTGTCGACGATATAGCAGTGACGTAAAGCGTCTATGTGCCGCCATATCACGTCACAACTTCTTAATGGTGCCGCCTTATTGATTCAGCTTACGTCATAGTCATTTAAAGGAGACATTACCCGAAATATCTGGTTACTAGAAGATTTAATATATTTTCTGCAAATCGATATTATATTCATTGTATTAATTAGCGTATCTGGGAACGTAAGCTCATTTACGTTGGATTATCAAAGCCAGGTATCAGCAGTGCTTGCCAGAGATTATTTCAGTTGTTATTTTTTTATGATAATTTAATAGACTTAATAATTACGCTGATATTCTATGCCTGTAAATTGAATTTGAAGTTTCACAGCCAGCATACTAACGAGACACCCTTCTTCAATTTGAAACTTGTTATCGATTAATAAAAAGAGTTACTACTCAAATAGAAACGGAATATTTCAGTTTCCATCGTTGTAGTATCTCTTTTCACGTACTAAATATATATTAATTAAAAATAACGTTTTATAGTTTGCTTTTCATAAATCACGCGTTTTAATCCAATAAACTCAGCTGTAAAAAACTGTTCGCGGTAATGTCAAGTGAAGCGGTAACAAGTTGACCCCCGCCCCGACACCCGACCCCTTTTACCCGCGTGAATGAGGTCATGTTCCATATCTAACACATTTCGAATGTTTTCATAAAGGTTACTGTTCATATAACTGTCATTTTATATGAATAACTTCTGTGGCTAGAGTTAATATACCAGTGGGAGA